GGACCTCAAGTGATCTGCCCACCTCAGCCTCCCAAAGCGCTGTGAGCTACCACGCCTGGCCAAATTTTTGTTTATAAATCTTTGTTCTCATTTTAAATTGTCTTTAAAATAGAGATAAAAGTAAACCTGCCTTAGGTTACTGTAAAGGTTAAAAAGAATGAATATGCATAAATATTTTAGAGCAATGTTTGACATACTAGCTTTTTTTTTTTTTTTTTTTTTTGAGATGGATCCTTACTCTGTCACCCAGGCTCTGGAGTGCAGTGACATGGTCTTGGCTCACTGCAACCTCCGCCTCCTGGGTTCAAGCGATTCTACCGCTTCAGCCTCCCAAGTAGCTGCGAATACAGGTACATGCCACCTTGCCCACATTTTTTTTTTTTTTTAGTAGAAATGGGGGTTTCGTTATGTTGGCCAGGCTGGTCTCAAACTCCTGACCTCGTGATTCACCCGCCTCGGCCTCCCAAAGTGCTGGGATTACAGGCCTGAGCCACTGCGCCTGGCCCATACTAGCTTTTTATTATTTGTAAACTACTTTTGTAATGCAAAAGTAGGTGGCAAATGATTGTTGAAGAATAGAGGACTTGAGGTGCGTGTTTTGAAAAACACTAAACATTTAGAGAAGTCCCTATATGGAAATAGCTCAAACAAATCATGAGATTAAATCATGATGTGTGATCATCAGACAATGAGGGAGATTTTACCAGTTGGATTGGAGATTGGCTGTTGATGATGGTTAGAAATACAACTGGGTGAGATGAGAGAGGAAAAGACTCAGAAGGCCTTAGGTTTAGGATGGTAAGCAATTGGATGTGATGTGTGGGGATTCCACGTGATCTTAGGTAGGGGAATACAACATACATGTGATATTTTAAAATAACTTATATAGTTTTCAGGGTACATTGCCTTACTTTAGCTTAAAAATTATGGATGGAATAGTGGAATCTTTTTATGCAAATCATTCTTTCACTTAGAAATAGAAATTTCTATTTCAGGGCAATTTCTATTTCAGAAAGTCTAAGACTTTTCTCCTCCATAAAGTTTTCTCTTTCTGATTCATATCACAGTGGTTTTCTTTTTTGTTTGAATTTCTTAGCATTCAAAATGATGTTCCTTGTATTTGTATCATCCATCATGATCTTTTGAGGGTAAATTTAAATTTAAGATATGTTCTCAAATCACTTCATGTTAATCTATTAGAAAGGTGTTATTCTGAATGCATAAAATGGTTTTGCTTCAAATGAGGCAAATTAATAAAACTGCTCTTCTTGGGAAGCTTCTAAGTTGGTTCTGGGAAAGCAAGCCACACAGAGAGGATCCAAAAATAGGTTATACACCACACATATTAACAAATTAAGGCATAATTTCTCAAAGCAACTCCTTGGAAAAAATAACACCTCTTAACTGCATTAAGATTCAGTATTTAAGTTAGAAACAACCATCATCATTTATAGTGATTCAAACACAATCTAGTATATTAAAATTTATTCTGTTATATATATGAGCTCCTTTAGAGAAAGGATCATGACTTACTCTTGTTGGTGTAGCTCATAGGGCCACTGTGGGTACCGAATTGATGCTTTATGAATACAATTTAAATTAGAAGGACATAGGCAATGGGAATACCATTTGTCCAGTAAGAAATTCAGCACATGTACTCTTGTCTGTTTTCCAGACTGAGTCAGCAGTTTCTTTCAGTTTTGCTGGTTAGCAGGAGTAGAACGGCAGCAAAGATCTGGCATTTCAGTGGAACCAGTGATTGCGGAAAATTAGTCTAGGTGGACTTGATTCTATTTTCCCCTTGGTGGCTACTGAGGTATTATGTAACTTTCTGGACTTTTGAATTATACTTTTCACTAATCAACTATGAGAATGGGAGGATAGTGTCAATAATTCTACTTAAAATCTAGTATACTTTTGTTCTCAAAGGGATGAGTACAATCTATCACAAGGACACAAATGTGACCAAAAAGTGGTTAAAGTATGAAATTTGAAGAGAATGAGGATTTGCGCATGACCTTCTCTATGTCTTCTTTACAAAGTGTTTTCAGATCTCTTCTGAGGGAGTTTAAAGACTTTTCTACAACTGCTACTGGTTTTGTCCATTCATTCATTCAGGACACACCAATAAACATGCACAAGCTCCTCTAATCCTCACAGGGCTAGAGAATGAGATAGGTATGTAGTTTATTTTAGCAGAAGGCTTTCTTTTCACAAATCAGAAATTTCATTGTATGTATTCCCTTAAATAACTGGCAAGGGGACCATCAGAATGAGCTATTGCAAAAATCCACCTCAGTCTTTACAGCTTCAGGGTGATGGGGCCCCAGATCAGAATTGTAAAATAGTTTAGAGAGTCTTGGAACATAAAACATGGTACAGAAAACCAAAGAAGATTTAATCTTATGTATGGAAAGGTTGTTGGTAAGGGAGGGGGCAATGGAAGAGAGTGGCTTGGGATCATCATTAATCATTCTTTAAGTACGTACAAAGTGAAAATATCCTTCTGAAATTCACTGCAAGTGACACTGAATTCTTCTACTAAGCAAATATGTGATGAGTTGATAAAAAAGAAGGTCCTGAACTCTTGATAACAGATATAATACAGTGAATACAGAAAATCAAAAACATTCTTTCTGACTCAAAATAAAGGTGCACTTAAACTTGTAAAAGACAACATTTTTATTTGAATGATATGACAGAACTGTCACAGGAGTGTTACCTGCTATAAAGAAAGCCTAAGAATTATTACCTTTATTAGACCAGTGACACTGAGCTTTAGCCATACATTTCTAACTTCTGTCCCTCTACAGAGACAATTTTCTTTTCTTAAATAAACTGTCATGCTAGTGTTAATATATTGTTGGCTCTCTCATGCTCTGAGAATACTGCTGATATAAAACATGTATATGTTAGATTGGTAATAGTATCTTTAGTGTAGCTGACTAGAACAAATGTGTTTCCCTCATGGCTGTGCTAATGTGATAAAGGAAAATTGGCTGTTCATCAGCTTTTGGCTGGGTAAAGACAGTAGAGATGGAACCACATTCTTTTTTATGCATTAATACCACCGAGAACTTTTCACTAGTTATATTTCATGTGCCTGCATGTTGTGCAAAGATGTTGTAAAACATGAGATAATGCTACAAATAACAAAGTAGAAAAGCCTGTATCTTTTATAATGATAACAGTCAAACACCAAATGACAGTAACAGGCTGTAAAAAATGGGATGCAAAAAGAAATGCAGCCCTACTATCCAGCAAAGCAGAACATATCCAGGCCCGTGAGAACTTGGCATATGATTTTAGGTATATTAAAGCTTTGTTTTAAAATTAAATCAAATGCAACACTAGATCAATGGATTTAAGAAACAACATGGTTTAAACGAAGGTAGGTTGGTCAGAATGGAGAAAACCCACATTGGGTAATGTTTTGAAAAATCAGTATTACCAGGTAATCATAATAATAACTTCCTGGTTTTTCGTTTTGTTTTGTTTTTTGGGGGGGACATTGAAAAAGATTTTTAAAACAAGTTCACGATGACTTTAAGATGTTTGAGAATAAATTTTATCTTCATCAATTATTACAAGTCTTTTTTTTTTAATATAAAAGCATTAAAAGTGTAACCAGTTTCATGCTCACAGAAAAATTGAGTGGGAAGTACAGAGATCTCCCAAACATGCTATACCCCCACATACGCACAGCTTTCCTGTCTATTAAAGCCCTGCACCAGAGTGGTGGTATATTTCTTACAATTGTCAGACCTACATTGATGAATCATTATCACTCAAAGTCCATAGTAGAATAACATGTTGAACAGTTTGATGTCATTTTAATTAAAATGTTAGCATCCAACCTTTTCATTCTATGACCTTAAATCTCGCTCTGTCCTCCCCTCTCTCAACCCCTCCCCCCCCAGCGTTTTATTTGCCATTTCAGCTCCTTCACTAATTAGAGTACCAATGATTCTTTTTGCATTTAAGCTAAAAGCACTTGAACAAAAGGACTATTTGCAAAGATAAAGTTGATATGAGAACAGCTGATTAGTTTATTTAGAAGTACATGCAATTAAAAGTTTTGTGCAGGTATTATCTATGGGTATTCTGCATAAAAGTTTGATTGAATTGGCTATTCTGGGCTCCTGTCACATAAACAAAAATTCCGTAGCTTTTTATCATGTAATCCAAGAGTTATCAAACTACAACCTGTGGGTCAAATCAGCTGGCCATCTGTTTTTATAAATAAGGTTTTATTTGGACACAGCCATGCTCATTTGTTTACATATTATCTGTGGATGCTTTTGCATTATGGCATCAGAGTTGAGCAGAGCTGGGCAGCAACCATTTGGCCCACAGAACCAAATCATTTGACTTGAGGAGAAAAAATATTATCTGGCTATTTACAGAAAAAAAAATTGCTAATCCCTAATATATGCAGTTATTTGGCTAATTGCTTGATTGATTGGTCAGGAATATGATTGGCAAATTTTTGTTATCCTACATTGGGAAAGTATATCTGAAAATCACCAACTGATACCAATACCTACAACAGTAAATTTGAGAAATACTTGATCCTAGTAACTTGAATTATATCCACATGTAATACTTTGTTGGTATATCTAGTTTTAATTGTTTCTCCCCATTGTACTCATTTTGCTTTATTTCAGATATACCCATAACAAATTTAATTTGTATTTAAAGAAGCAACATATCCTCAAAAACCTTGCAGAAGCATGGCAATCAGAGCTGTTGCATGTATGGGACAAACTATTATGCATACTTGCGAACAACTGGGAAATATCATTGTAGCACAAAATGACACTATGTAGGTTTATATCTAGATAAACACATGGAGATATCATTGAGCTATTAAAATAATGTTTTCAGTCTTCCCAACTGAACAAAATAGAGAAGGAAAGTTAAGAAATACTGCTGAAATGTGGTTATTATAAAATAAAAGTTTATGCACTTAAAATAATAATGGTGGTAATTTGTTACAGGTGCATCAGACAAAAATCAGCTTCTTTATCAATGGCTTGGAGAAGGATCATACACCTTTCATTACAAGAACTCTAAGTGGTTCCATTACAGATTTTGCGTCTGGTACTGTGCAAATAGGACAAAGTTTAAATGGTAAGATTCTGACTTCGGAATGTTATTTATTTCATCCAATTACATTGTTCTTAAAAATGCATCAAAGAAATAATATTTTTAAATATCTATGTGTATTCATCTTCTAGGGCTGCTGAACAAATTACTACCAGCTGGGTGGTAGATTAATAAAAGTAAAATTTAATTTTTTACAGTTTGGAAGCTGGAGGTCAGAAATTAAGGGCTCAGCGGTGTGAGTTCCTTCTGGAGGCTCTGAGGGAGAATCCATTCCATGTTTCTCTTTGTGGTGGCCGCTGGCAATCCTTAGCATTGCTTTACTCGCAGCTTCCTAACCAGGCTTTGCCTCCTTCTCTGAATCTTTTCCCCTTTACCTCCGTTATAAGGACACTTGTCATAGAATTTAGGGCCCACTCACAACCAGGAGGATCTCACCCTGAGATCCTTAACTTAATCAAACATGCAAAGACCCTTTCTCCAAACTAAGGTCACAGTCACAGATTCCAAGAGGATGATATATCTTTTGGGGTCTTCTATTTGACTTACTACATTTGGGAAGCTTTCAAATTGAAATTTCTTTATTCTGATTAGTTTTTAAGTCATTTCAATGTGTAATAAACTATATTTCCTCTCTGTCTCTCTTTTTTGAAGGGTTTGCATTTTAATGTAGAGCATTTTTAAAGTAGGACTACAAAGTATTAGATGGGAATTGAGAAATAGTATTAACATGTAATTAACTGGACTAATATTTTCATTTCCCACATTAAAAATGGGCCATATCGTTTAAGAAAATATCATACACTATATACTATATAAAATCAGAAGTCGAAATAAGCAATTATCTTAAAATATCTAGTACAATGGCCTTTAAAATGCCTACATTTTAAAATAAAACATTATATTATTGTATAATATATGCTTATTATAAAAAAACTCTATATAATATGGAACTCTGTGAAATAGAAAGTGTTTTCCATATTTCTATCTTCAGAGATAGATACAGTTTAACTTTTTTATACTCCTCCAGATTTTTAGTACGTTTTTAGCTAGAGATATAGTTATAAATATATTTTTCCAAAAATAAAATTACAATACATATGCTTTCTCTGAGTCCTCTAAAAATAAATACTTCTCCTTCAAATGCTATAAACATTTCATGTCAATATACCTTCTCGTTTAGATGTATGTTCTCATTTAAAATGGCTGTCCTGTGTGCAATTATATAGGTGTCATCCATATTTCTTAAGCTCCTATAATGAACATTTAGGTTTTTTCTAATGTTTCAATATAATTAGCATTAGCAATATTTTATGTATAGAAAATATGTAGAAAACATTTTATATATATACATATATTTATCTGTCTATATCTACATTTCTAGTTATATATATCATCTAACAATCTATCAATCATATACAGACATATACATACATACATATATATTTGAGCAGTTACCTGATTGCACAGTTCCTTAATACCCTATACATTGGTGTCAACCTGCCTGAGTTCATACCCATTTCCTCACTTACTAGCTATATGTTCTGGCAAAATATTTTAATGTTGCTAAAGAGTAGTCACCCCAACTTTAAAATGATGATGATGATAATGATATCCCATAGGGCCAATGTAAAGATCAAATGAAGCAATGTCATATAAAATATTACTGTGTTTCAAGCCCCTGGCATGTAGTAGATACTCAATTTTCATTTGTTAAATGAATGAATAAGGGGCTAAGCACTATGCCTGTATATAAACTATATTTTCTCTCTTGGGCGTGGGGTTAGATTTTAATATACAGCATTGTTAAAGTAAGACTATACAGTACTAGATGAAAACTGAGAAATATTAACCTACAGTTAACTGGACTATGTGGTTTATATTTTCCCATGCTAAAAATTGGCCATATAGTTTAAGAAGGTAACGTATATACTATATATTGAGAAAAAAGTATATTCACTAAACTATATTAGTAAATAATACTATTACTAATGTTATTATAATTATTTCCCTAAAATAAATCCATAGAAGTTGAGTGGCTTGGTTGAAGCATATGGTCATTTTATATTTTAATACAGAGATTGCTCTAATGCATAACAGGCTACCTCCAGAAAGGTTGTGAAAATTTATAACCTCATTAAAATATATAGCCAAGTGCTTGTTTTCTTAAACACTAACTAACCTTACAAATTATCCATTTTTTTTCACCCTTGCCATTCTAAGTGAAAAATATTGTTGAATGCTGTCTTAGAATTATTTGGCCATTAATGAGTTTGAGTAGCTTTTCACATATGTCTTGATCATTTGCATTTTATTTGTGAATTCTTTATTCATACAATGTGTCCATATTTATACTCTGTAATTCCTTATTTATAAAAGCTCATTTATGTTTAGAATATTACATTGCATATGTTTTCTTCAGTTTTTAGGTGGCTTATGAACTTTGTGGTCTGGACATTTTAAAGTAATATTTTAAGATTTAATCAAAACAAAGCATGTATGCAAGTTAGTGCATAAATATTAAAGGTATAGCTTGATGAGTTTTTAATATTTATATCCACCTGTGTAATTCTCATTTAGAAAAAGTTGTAGAACATTTCCAAAATCTCAGGGTCCCCTAATGAACATCCACTCTAAAAACAGAATAGCGTCAATGTAGACTTCTATAACCATAAACTGACGTTGCCTATTCGTGAACTATCATACAAATAAAATCATGAAGTAGGTACTCTTTTGTGTTCTTTTTGCTTAGCACTATGCCAGTGAGACTTTTCCATAGTGTATGCAGCCTTAGTATATCTTTAGCTTTAGGAAATAACTTCTGAATAGTTTTCTAAGTGGATGTCCCAAGAAGCAGTCTTTGAGGATTCCAAGTGTTCTACATCCTTACCAACTCTTAGTAGTGCCAGGTGTTACCATTCTTTGCTATTCTGGTGGTTGGTTAGTGCATTTCCTGATCATTAGTAATGCTGAGATCTTTTCATGTGCTCATTTGCCAAGTGAATATGCTTTTTTGTGAAGCCTTTTGCCAATTTTTAATTGGACAGTTTGTATTTTTCTTAATAATTTATAGGAGGTCTTAAGTATTTTTAATATGAGTTCTTTGATGAATACAGGATAGCAAATATGGTCTTCTGGGCTAGGGCTTATAGTCACATTCTCTTGATGATATTTGTTGATAATCAGAGCTTCTTAATTTTAACAATTTTGTGTTCTGTTTAGACTATTTTTTGCAAACCCTGATATCATGAAGATATTATCCTACACTTTATTCAGGTAGCTTTATTATTTTACATTTCAAATTTTGGTCCATGTTCTATCTAGAATAGATTTTTGGAGATCATGTAAGGTAGGGGTCAAAATTTTTTTCCCACCTGAATGCATAATAAATGTAAAAAACATTGCCTCTTTAAACAAATCATTGTTTCTACCATTCTGCAGTGGTAACTTTGTCATCAGTTATCTGTATATGTGAATCAATTATCTGTATATGTGAAGATGGGTTTGTTTCTGAACTTTCTATTTTGCCCCAATGATCTGTCTGTCTGTCTAGACTTGGGTCAAAATATTTAATTACTGTATTAACTTTATTATTTAGTTTTAATTACTGTATTAATACACGTCTTGATATCTAGCAGTTCTTCAACTTTTTTTTCTTTTAAGATTGCCTTGGCTATTATATATGAATTTTAGAAACAGTTTTTCAATTTTCATAAAAAATTGTGCTGAGATTTAAATTACTAAGTCGTATTTGGGAGAATGGGCATCTAAACAATATCAAGTTACCAACACATAAATGTAATATATTCCTTAATTTCTCCCATCAATATTTTTAGTGTTCTGTATAGAGGTCTCACTCATATTTCTTAGATTTGTTCATATGTATTCATTGGTTTTCCTTTTTAATAGACTGTATTTTTTAGAACAATTTTAGAGTCACAGAAAACTTGAGTGGAAAGTATAGAGAGTTCCAGTATGATCTCTGCTCCTACACATGCACAGCCTCCTCCAGTGTCAATATCCCTCACCAGAGCAGCATATGGTATATTTGTTACCGTTGATGAACTTACATTGACATATCATTATCACCTACAGTCCATAGTTTGCACTAGAGTTCACTCTTGTTGTTGTACAATGACAAGTATCCACTACTCCAGTATCCTACAGAGAGTAGTTTCACTCCCTAAAAATCTTCCGTGTTCCTCATATTCATCCTTTTCTCTATCCTAAAAGTTGGCAATCACTGATACTTTCACTGTCTCTGTATTTTCACCTTTTACAGAATATCATATAATTGGAATAAAAATGTATCCTTTCCGATTGGCTTCTTTCCCTGAATAATATGCATGTAAGATTTCTCCACATCTTTTCATGGCTTGGTGGTTCATTTCTTCTTAGTACTAAATAATATTCCATGGTTAGATATAGCATAGTTGATTTGTTCATTCATCTACTGAAGGACATCTCGCTTCCTTCCAAGTTTTGGCAATTATGAGTAAAGTTGCTATAAACATCAGTGTGTAGGATTTTGTGTGAACATAAGTTTTCAACTTATAAATACCAAAGAGCACAATTACTGGATCATATGGTAAGATAAGTTTAGTTTTGTAAGAAACTGTAAAATTGTCTTCCAAAGTGACTATATCATTTTACATTCCCATTAGCAATGAAAGTTCCTGTTGCCCCACATCCTTACCAGCATTTGGTGGTGTCAGTGTTCTGGCTTTTTGGCCTGTTGGTTATTTTGCATGCAATTATATTTAGTATTGTTTTTGAACTTCGTTTTCTAATTTTGTTACTATTACATAAATATTGACCAATATTCAGTGACCTTGCCAAACTCATTATTAATTCTGATAGGCACACAATCCTATCATTTGCACATATCAGGAACTCACCTGTTTTCGAATGTTTGTAATAAATGTGTGAAATGAACATGGCATAAATAGCTCCTATCGATATTCATGACTAGTGCACTTATTAATTCTGAAATAACATAAAATTTTAGTTTTGTTTTTTTCCATGAC